ATGTAAGGGGGGGGGGGGGGGCAACTAATTATTGGTCACCACAGAGGCACCCACATAAAAGAAAAACATCTGGTCCCAAGACCGAAGCGGAAGGGTTAAGAAGCCAAGATGGGCTTGCTGGTGTTGATGACCATGCAGAGCAGAAGAGAGGGAGGGAATAGACAGACTAAGTTTGACCAGGCAGGCAGGCAAGCAAGCAGATAGTCTCTCAGGGCTTAAAGTCACCTCCCCACCTCTGCCCTCACACCTCCAGGCAGAAGAATGAAGGTGGCTATTTCTTTTCACTTGAATGTGCAATAAGGAAGCGGCCAATTGAGGAAGGTCTGGTGCTAAATGGCTTCATCACAGAGTACAGTGGCCATGACCAGTTATGTCTGTTCAATTATAAATGTGGTCAAATATGGTTTAGGATGCTATAACTAAGGTTGTAGGCAGGGAGAGGTGAGAAACACACCGGGGATGGACCTGAGAGCAGTGTGCTTCAAATGTGGAGGAAAGCACAACATTAGGTAAGTGAGATGAAGGTTTTCGTGGATGCTTAGAAGTCATGTTGAAAGAAAAGTAAAAAAAGATGGCAGAGGGAGGGTGGGTTTTAGGTAGAGGAGGAACAGCAGAATTAAGAGGAGAGAGGCAGAACCTGGTTGTGAGCCCGGGTGGAGGGGATGCTCTGCAGGCACCTGAGTGCACACAAACTCTCAGCCACCGAGGAGCAGCCCAGCCAGAGAGAGCGAGGCACAGAGCACTGTGTGAGAGAGAGAGGGAGGGAGGGAGGAGGAGACCCAAGTGGACAGGGTATAGGGAAGAAGAGCAAGAGAGAAATAGATGTGAAGTAAAGGAAAAGAGAAGGGAGGAAGTAATGTTGAGGGGAAAATGGAAGGAGGAAACCAAGGAGGTGAATGAATGGATGGATGGATCAATTAATTTATGTATAAATGCAGTTGGTTAGGAGTTCATGTGGTGCAGATGTGTCAAAATGCAATGAAAATGAATGAATAAATAAATGGTGTTTAGTTGGGAATCAGGAGGTTGTGAGTGTGTGTCCATCAAAGGTGAGGAAAAGAGTAGAGAGGGATTTGGAGGAAATAGTGAGGGGGGAAACCAGTATTAGAGCTACACAGACATTGCACAGTGAGCACAGGAAGACACACTCATTCACACACAAAATACAGACATATACTCACAAAAGCAATATTAGATGTGAATAGATGTGAACTAGGAGTGGGTGTGCAGTGAAGACAGAGGGGCACTGTGATTTGCCAATCAATTATATTTACTCTCATTAATTGTTTTGCCATAAGCAATGACGAATCACATGGTCATAAAATTTACAAGGAAATACACTGAACGAATCTGAAAACAAAAACAAAACACCTTACCATTAACTACACAATGGGAAAGGTCCTGCTCAATTCAATAGAAGTACAATAATATAATAAAATATGCCAACAGTGTAAGGATGTCAAAAATATGTTGTCAGAGCTGAGCTTCGAACTGGAGTTACAAATCAAACTTGTAGATCAATAACATACTAATTCAGCATCACTTTTATACAGCACTTAGACTAGTCTCGGGTTGTACTTTTCACTACACTTTTGGATAAACAGCATATTAGCTCAGCATCACTTTTGTGCAGCACAGACTAGTTCAACGGGAATTGTGCACATCAGCATTTTCTTTTATCAATAGTCATTTGACAGTTTTGGTCATTTAGCTACCCACCAATCCATGTTTAGAGAGTAATCTACTCACTGCTCTTTTCAGTAAATCGTCATATCAGTAACGTTATTTGTGCACCGGCAAAAGGTATTATTGAGATGCTAAAGCGCCGACCCTTAAAGAACATTACATATGACTTGATAGTGATTGTTACTTTCGGTTATGATGTCTGGCTGGAACCTCCATAAACAGATCAACTATTTATTTGATGTTTAAACCCAGTGTAAACTCCACGTAGCTACACAAACAAACCAAAGTGAAACAAAGGGAACCTCGATATATCACCGACGTAGCAATGATCAAAAAGAGGTATCATAACTTTAGCCAACCTTCATTTGAATAAATACATATGTAGTAACTGCTTTTGTAAAGCTAACGCTATTCTAGCCGCCTAGCTTTTGAAGATAGCTAATCGTCCGGCATAAACAGTAATGCAAGAGCTGAACAAATAGTAAATACACCGCATTGTAAGAAACTGCATTTAGAATGGCGGCGTATAAGCTATGTTTAGTAAGTCCAACACCTATTCCTGTCTCAACTAAATAACTATTTTGATATGGAAAGGAATGTCAAGTAGACCTAGCCAGCTTGCTACATGGGGCAACTTGCTGCCTCGCTAACCGTAATGCTAGATGAATGAAAAAGCCGTACACTTCCTTCTACGCACTTCAAAAATATAAACAGCCATACTTCACTTTAGGATCATTTTAACAATATTCCCACAAGCCTCTGAAACTACCGGACATCTCCACACATCTTTTACCGTGAGGGCTTTCAACACAACAAATATGTCAACATAAGCGTACATTTTAGTTGCTCACCCTAGCCAGTGCTAGCTGGATAGCTAATGCCCAGATAGGGCCCAGTTGAAGTGGCGCAGCGTCACCGCAGTGAGCACTACCCCGAGAAGCCTCAGCTGTCTTGGGCCGACGGCTGCGCGAATCCGCCGTAGACAACGAGAATTGCTAGCGATAGCCGAATCGATGTTGTTCAAAACCACCCGACGGCAACAAGTGCAACTTACAGATATAATAACATGAGTTATCAGCAATACTACTAGAAATGTATCGCGAATTTCAGGCCCTCCCTGAGATTCCCGGTCCCCACTTTTCACCTCCGCCTCTCCAGAAAAACCGCTTCGGATTGTTCTTCCTTTCAAATCAGCGAGCAACGCTCCCCGCATACGACTCGGACAACGCCCCGTGTGTCCTCTTTGGAACACATCTTACCATCAGATCCAACGTTTTGTCCTCCATCTCCGGCTCCATGTTGACGATCCCCCCCGAAACTCGCTCGGAAAATGGAAACCCAGCCCTGCGTCGGCGGCCCGCAAATGCAGAGACGTCATTCGCTTTGCTCAAGCCCACAGCATTGGGTAGGACAGCGTGAAAAGGAAGGGTGGGGGACGGGAACGCCCATGCGTCGAACCAACGAGGTGATTGAACCACTTCTTCCTAACGGGGCGTGGTAGCATGAATTTCCTGGTTGATTATTGGCTTAGCGAGCTACTAAGGCTTTCCCCGGTGACTCCCCCAAACAAAAGGGCATTTGCTCAAAGATGCTGTTGCTACACTGAAGATGAACCAGCAAAAGCCAACTCTATCGTCCGCATTGCTTATTGCGAGGTTGTTAGGTACCGGTAATTTGATGTCGGGTGCCATTACATGTTGACAGTGCTTGATTTCAGTGCCCTTTACTCACATTTAAGGGTTAGTCAGCAAAGTCGTCAATGCTTCTAGGAGACAGGCGATCAAATTAAACCCTTGATACTAGTATGTATGAATGTATATACAAATGTACATAGGAAGTCCATATTTTTCTTGAGTATTTAACTGTTTCAATGTTTTGTCGACCTTGACATGTTTTCCACATGGTGGATTAAACTGTTAGGAGTTGCTTCCAATTATTTAGGATGCATTACAACATTTGAGAAATTGGTACACAATTGCTTAATCCATTTGAAAAAAAAACCAAACAAACCTCAATAGTGGAATAAATTTTGGGATTGACAAATCAAAAATAGGAGGGATTTAATCTTTGTAGGAAAGCAAATCAAACAAGGAATATTTCCAAAACTTGGATTTCTGCTGCTGGATATTTTGAAACAAAAAAAAAGTGTGTTCAAAGAGAAGTTAGGTAATGTTGACTAAAACAAGTGGAATTACTGTGCAGTCATGCATACATCACATCTGACAACTGGGAAACAGAAACCTTCAGGTTTCCCCAAGATGATGGGCAGGCTGACAGCAGAAGTGTTATAGCACAGGAGATGAGGAGGTAGCAATGGTTTTCAGCAGTTCAAATTTTAATACGTTGTCCCCTTTTCTCTACATAAACCCAGGTTTAAAAAAAAAAAAAAAACTCATAAAATACAACAGCAGCAGTTGCCAGTAAAAAAAATGAAAAGAAACTGATTAAGCATCGAGGGGAAGACACGAGGGACGGGAGAAAAGGAAAATACATTTTTTTGTATAATATCTGAGTCAATTGTTCATCTTCCAACTGGGTTGAGGGCAGCAAAGACTCTGGGAACTTGCTGTTGTGTTCGTTCAAAATGGAGGGGAACGGGGCGGGCGATAAGGAACAAAAATGAGTCGAGTTCAATCCAACAAGGGGAAGGAACCAAACTCTAAGGCAGGGATTTATTCAGGAAAGGCTTTCTCTCTCTCTCTCTGAATGAAAGAAATTTTCACTCCTCTTCAGCCTGTGATGTACTTCAATGTGTGTACAGATGAAATGTATGTGCAAGACTGTGTATTCAACAAGTAAATTGGAAGTTGGCTGTCATTACGTGGTCAACACAGTTGAGCCCCTCACTTGCTGCAAGAGAGGTGGCATTTTTCTTTCCTTAATTCTTCATTCCTTTGTTTTTTTTTCCTCTCTTCCAATATATCAGTCCCCGACTACCTAGTAGTCATCCAAATCAAAGAACTCATCGTCCTCTCCTTGGTACTCCATCCCCTGGAAGTCCACCCTGTACCGCAAGATACCTGAGAGGAAGACAAAGATGACATATCATATTAGCCATCAATGCAAGACCTGTCCAGTTTATCACGATGTTCTTCAATCGGCTTTTTGATCATGACATACTTTGTACTTCTATTAATTAAAATAATTCCCATCCAGCATAACCAAAATCTTGTTACGTATCTTCAGGTTGAAGGACACTAAATAAGACTGTTATATTTGAATGTTCTGTTGTGATTCAAAAGTGCTCACCCCCGATGCCTCCAAAGCCCTTGACAAACTGAGATCCTTCTTGGCTCTTGTCTGTGACAATTTCCAGCGTGGCTCCAAATTTCTTGTAATTGTTGGCAAACCACTCTAACAGCGGCATGCTCTCGATCAGTTCGTGCTCTTGCCCTGTCTATCAACATAAAGTCAGAGGGAGTGAACAATTTACCTCAACAGCGATTACGTCAGCGTGTGTAGTCCTCACCTCTTTGTCTGTGAAATGAGATTTGTCTTTCTCCTGCTCTGGCGTTAAGTACAAAGTCTTCTCATCTGGGAATCACAGAAACCACATTGAGCATGAGGGTTACACGGTTCACAATCAGGTGACTTTTTTGGCATATACCATTCTCAGCTCCGTTGCTCTCGGCTCCATGCACACGTAAAATGTAACGCATGGTGTCTAAGTTCTCATAGACTATGAGGATCTCCACCGCTCCCATCTCCAAGGCTTTCAATGTGTCCTCCACACCAAAGCAGTACTTGCCGGTGTCTTGACTGATCTCATCGAAGTATCGTCCTGGGGAACCACAGACAAGAGGCTTAAAATTAATGAGGCAAAATTCACAGGCACTTATTTCTCCTGTTGAGAGCTCTGAAAGTTGCAACACTATGTTAATAAAACAACCTACCTATTAGTTTCTTTTCTTGGATGAACTTGACATTGGAGAGAACCTCTGCTGAGAGCTCAATGGCCTGGTTGAAGCCATTTTCTCCACCATAGGAGATATCCACTAACTTCAGAACTTTGGCCTGTAACCTCTATGATTTGAAAACAGAAACGTCCACCGGTTAAAAACTGAGCAACAATGTCAATCAAATAACAAAATGGTGTGTACATACCTAAGAGTGCAACAGTAAATTCCGAATAAGCAATTTGATGTGACAAGAGTTGTGCCACGAGTGATGAAATATAGTACACGAGTCCTGGGACCTAACCTGACATGACATTCTAAACCGTAAATTTAGCCTCGACCAATGGGCTATGGTAATTGAACATTACTGTGGGTTATTCAAACTTTGCATTGCAAATATGGACACATTTCCAGATATAAAATTTGATGTAAAGGACTTAATTTTCAAAAGAAAATATGAAACCGTGTCCAATACATTCCAACTTAATGCATTAAAGGGAACATGGAAAATAAATAAACAACATATTGAATTTAGAATAAGTAATTAAGGCATTAAGTCGACCCTCTGCAGATATATGAGAACCAAGTGACCCATCATTAACTATAACATACTACATCAGCATTCTCGACTGGGGGGGGAAACAAGTAAAACATAACATACTTCACATAAGGTGTAGAAAAAAAAGTAGTGTGTTTCCGGTAACCCGACCGACCGAGAATTTCTACGTCGAAAAAAAACTTTACGGTCTGCATTTTTTTCAAACAACCCTCTACATTTTTGTGTAGAGGGTTTACATCGGTGCAAACTCTCGCTATATTCACGTTGAGCGCGTGCGTCGTTTGCCCTGTCGTCTGTCAACAACATTGAAACATGGCGGCGGCCGCGATCTCCGATGACAGTTTAAACTGCATTTTCTGTGTTACAGTCGCGTGCTCGCACCGTAATGTTAATAGCATCCATTGACGTTGCGAAAAAATAAAGCGAACTATTTGATGAACACCACGGGCCGAGTAAAAACCGAGGGCGGAGGAGGACGGCGGAGGAGGACGGCGGAGGCGGCGGCGCACCCCGGCCCCCCGAGTCCGGAGCGGGGAGAAAACTAAATCGGCGGCGGCAGCGGCAGCCGCGGGTTCAATGTCTTCTTGTTTTGTGGTTATTTTGTTTAAATTTTTGAAGGGGAAAAAAAAAAGATTAAACAAAAAAAACTTTGTCCGACCTACCGACCCTATGCTGAAATTTCTTGTTACCGGAAACACTCGTATCTTTTTTGTTTGGCCTAATTAGAACACATACTTACTGGGTCAAACATGTCAGACTGGCTCAGCTCAGTTTTGAAGTCGGCAGAACCAGCCAAAACCATTCCTGCCACATTGACTTTGTCGTTGGACACAAACAGCTGGACAGCCGTTTCTGCCACTTTCCTAACATAGTTGTGCCTCTTCTCCATTCTTAGACGGGCAAAACGCAAAGCCGACTGTCCTCCTCTGCCTATGACAAAGATGAAGAGAGAGTGTCATGGTTCCATTGAGCAAAAACTAGAAACAAAGTCCTTGATGACTTGGAGCAAATATAAATGAAATGAGTTGCAAGAGCAGTGTGATATAGTACCGTGCTTCTTCGGTAGGTCCACAGTGAACTTGTGCAGCACTTCCCTCGTGTTCCCCTGCAGTGTGCCAAACAACGCCCCGCTTCCGTCAATCACAATAAAGCCAAACTTACTGTCATCAGAAAGCAGGGCTGTCAATGCCTACGTTCAGAAGGAAAAGATGGAGACCATGAGACAAAATTAAATGTGTACAAATTCAAAACGCTGTTGTACAATTTAAGTCCAATCTATGCAAAAGAGAAAACACTTACCTCGGTATGGAACTTGTTGTCACAGAGGTACAGGGAGGTGTTGATTGGCTTAAAAGGTTCAAAGTCGATATTTACTTTTTTCTCCTTCCCTTCATCTGTAACAATGGTGCCGCAGTACACAACTAAGCCATTGGGTGGTACTGTGAAGAGAAGAGTAAAATAACATGAACAATGTGTTCTTTTCATCTGAATATTCAACAGCATAAATGTTGCCAAAGATCAGCTAAGCAATCATTTCACCCGTATACAATAATATTGTGACATTTCTAGTTAGAAAAGGTGTTTCCCAAATGGTAAAACTCACTTCACAGTGTTTTGGTTTTTTTAAATATTTATAATCTCAAAAGATCGTAGCCGAGCCCTGCACAGCATGTTAAGAACTGCTCAATTCCTCTTGCCCCACTTGTATCACCAGAGGAGGTCACCCTGTGCACACTCCGTGAGAACATAAACATAAGCAAAAGGAAGCTGGTTACGGATTTCCTATAATAAAACGTGAAAAGATGAGATTTTTGAATTGACGAACATTGTTTTTAAGTTCTCAGATAACACCACTATGACTTATTTAGGCATCTTACTTATCATACCCACACAAAAAGTTTGGGGCTTTGCGCAATGCTACTGAATCCCACCCACCCCCCGTCACTGAATGTT